CCCAACCAATCAGCGACGTTGTGCTGTGTAAACACGCGTTGAATTTATCTACTCTTGTGGAACTTGGAAACAACTGTATATGTGTGTGAGTGTGGATCGCATTCGCAATGGTGGATTGCTCTTCGACCCTATTTGAGAGCAAGGGGTTTGTTTGTGCAGCTCTTTTGTTAAACATATGTATGCCTTTTGTATATACTATAGGTATGCGTGTGTGTATAAAGATATTGCGGCGCACATCCATTTAAATCAAAGTGGTTCTAATTAGTTGCAAAGTTGACTTGCGGTTTTCTAATCCAACGCGATTTTCTCTTTAAAATAAATTAAATCTCGTATGACACGCATTATATAACTAAACTGTTATTTTAAATTTCAAGTAAATCTAATTTTAATGTAAAAATATATTTATGAGTAGAGTTTTTAAATACAACTGCTTTCTGTAAGAAAATATAACAAACTTAACATATTTAACAAATAATTATTTTTGTAGTATTATGATAAATACTTATTTTATAATTATGCTTCTGCATTTATTGTTCCGCACATTTTTGTATATTTCAGTATTATGATATTCAAAAGCTACAATAATTCACAACCTTGCGGCACAACATTAAATTTAAAGCATTGTTTTCAAAATTTTTAAAATTGATTGATGAGTCCCAAAAGCTTTACAAATATTCCTTTCATAGGCAAAAAATATTCGAATAGAGGCAACGAAAAGATTGAGCGTAAGAAATAAAATTAAAGCAAGTTTCTGGCCTTAGAAGGGGAACGGAAAAAGGAAATTCCCGGTTCCGGTTTTTTCAAAAGGCCTGATAACGTTGATTGCAAACGTAAATTAATAATTTATATAAACAAAATATAAAAAAATAAACAAGAATGGAATGCTAAAGTCGAGCAGGCTCAACTCTTAAATACCCTGTACCACCCCACAAAAAAAATTTACTAAACAAATTTAATTAATTAAATTAATTAAGACAGGGTATACAAAAAAAAACATGCATACACTTACATACACATATAAGCACATATGTACATATACATGCAGCGAGTCTAAAATTAAAGTGCGACAGCATTAGAAAGCTCATCTACACATCAAAGCTCGTCATACAAAGTGAGAGCAAGAGCGCATAGATTGATTAGAGAGAGAGAGAGAGAGAGACGGAGAGTGCGTGGGAGGGATCGAGCTCATAAGACAACGATAACATAATTGCAAGGAAACCCGAAACCAAATATGCACTTACATTTACTTTACATATAAATTATCTTAATATATTTCACTTTAAATGAGAAAACTGCGAATTTGGAAGAGCTATGATTATGTAGACAGGCTACAATTTTTTGCACTGCTTTTAATTCGCAGCTGACCTCTGAGGCCTTTCCGATGACTCTATATCTGTTGAACATACCAAAAGCGAAATGACTTGGAAAGCTGCCGCTTCGAGCGCAACTGGGGCCATATTTCAATTATCAAATACGCCTCCTCCCTTTAGCTTTAGCATTGAACATCGCCAGCACGATGTTCAAAAATGGCAGCAGAACCAACAAGCGCCTTGTCTTGGTATTCCACAAAACTTGACCGAGCGATAACCTTTCGCACAAAGTGCCAATAGCAACAGAAATGGCCGTATCGATGATAATGACGATGATGCCGGTGATGATGTTGTTGGTGGTGGTGGTGGTGAATGGAAATCTGCGCCAATGCGAACCAAACTCATTGTCTGACTAATTAAATGATTTATCCCGAAACGTGAGACTGCAACCAAACTGCGGCCAAACCCAGCCAACACTTTTGCCACTAACAACAACAACAAGAACAGCAACAAGAAATCCAGCTGGCATACATACAAAAACCAATTACAATTACCGCACCCAAAGGTGCCACAAAAACACACACACACACACTTACACACACGACTGCAACTGCAACACAATTGAGGCAGCAGCGCCAGCGATGGCGAGATCTGCAGCGGCCACAGCGGCAACAGCGGCAGCAGCAGCAGCAGCCAGAGCGAACTTTATCTAGATGCATACAAATCCAACAAAGCGCACGTCAATTTATTTGCCTGCTTGCCTGCCTTCACAAGGCTCTGTAAAGCCTGCTCGCCATTCATGGCAATGATGATGATGTGCCTCTTTCTGAGCCAATGCCTGCCCCCGCTTAGCGAAGGGGTCCGCATGCGGATGGGGGCGGATGGGAGGGGGGCTGGCCACAGTCTCCATATATTTACCTACGAGGGCGCTGCAACATGTTTTATGTCTGTGCACCTTTAACGAGGTGTTTATTTTCACAACTCTACCAAGGCGCAAGAGTAAGCTCAGCATCATCTCTGCAACAGTGTGTGTGTGTATGTGTGAGTGTGTATCTGTGAGTGTGTGTGATGACGATTATTGCAGTTGCAGTTTGTTGAAGGTGCAGAAAAACAGTGCCCGCCCATTTTCATGTTCAATGTTGGGCCAACACAGCCACACAACAACAACATGCAGTTCGTGCCGCACGTTGCAAGGCAGAAGGACGCGGCGGTGACGTCGGCAGCAGCCAAATTGACGACGGGGCGTCTATGCGAAAAACGATGACGCCGCCGTGCTCTTTCGCCGTTGCCCGCTGTCCACGTACAGTGGTCAAAAGAAGCTAAGCTTTGCCAAAAATATAGCCGCAGAATAACTTTGTAATTTGAAAATCATTTAAAGCTAAAACAAGTATATACTTGTATGTAAGTACATATACTTATTAGCCTGTTTCTATTTCCGTTTCAATTTCATTTTCCAATTTCTACAATTTCTCGAATTTAGAATTTATGTTGAAAATTGTGCATAGCATAAAAAAGTTTAATGAATTCCCCTAATTCGTCACAATTGAGTTTCTTGGCCAATCAATTTCGACCAATTTGATCCAGCTCGGAACCGGCCTGAAAATTAATTAATTAATTCTCAGCTATATCTTTGTTTGAATTCCATTTTCAATAAGAATCAATTTACTTGTATGTTGAAAAAAAAGTTACGCATAAATTGGAATTAATTTTAATGAATTAACTTATTCATAACAATTTGAGCTTCTTGTCGAAATATTTTTGACCAAATACCAGGTCGGGAATGGGAAGAGGCCTGATAAAGCTTGATTTCGTAATATATATGCACCAACTCTCGAAATGTAAAGAGACGCTAATCGGCAGTTCGCATTTTAATGTCGATTAGTTTTTGGTACCTTTTCGATCACATTAAGTGAATACTGGAAAAGGCAGTTTTAGTAAAAGAAGCCACTTTTAAAGTAAATTGAGAAAACGAATCTAAGAATTGAAGAAACTGTGCTGTTTTAGACATGAGTTTCCAAATGCAGAACACTATTGTAATTGTATAATTTGTTAATATCTTCAGATCCGCCTTCATGACGGAGTGAAAGAAAATATTTTGGAATATTGTTGATATTGTTGTTTTTTTTTTTACCAAACTGGAGGGTACTTTCATTAAAGTTAGGTGTATATGTCATAAGCCTCATTTCGATCAACCAATTGAAAATCTACCTCCAAAATAGCTTTATTTGTACTGTTATGAATAGCACCCATTGCCCGTGGATAACCAGTGTATAACATATGTTTGTAGTCCCCATCCTATGTCCAAAGTGCTCTTACAGATAAGAATGCCTTTTTCATCTCCGATTTTCTCGTCCAGGAGAGTTTGGAAGCAAGACAGTATTAGAAAATCAAGCTGGGATCGGTTGTCTTAGGGTGGTGAGGAGAGCAGACTCCCTCTGCTGCCATTACCCTTGAAACCAGCTCGTCCACTGCTATTGGGCTTAAGGAGGAGGAGCTGCCCCTTGTGTGGAAGTGGAAGTTTTTAACACACTTCCTAACCACTGTGAGTATTCCTCGCGAGCGCTAAAGCTAGCTCCGAAGTCGATGCCGACGCATTGCCGACTTAGGCACTAAAGCCACAAACGCTTTAATGATGCTGTTTTGTTTAGCGCAAATTGTTTGTTTCGCTGTCATAAACTGGTGCGAAAAATGGCCAAGTCGTCCGCTCTAGCGAGTGCCTGTCTGTGCTGGAAAGAGAGCGGAGCTGAGGCGCTGAGCGCCAAATGCGGACCGGCCTGACGAGTGCCACACACACTCACACACAGCAATGTGTAGGGCTCCCTCCACATTGGGAGCAGGTTTCATGTATATACATGTACACACACATAGAGAGAGGGGGCGCATTTATCTGAGCTGCTTTGGCGCATGCGTCGCCCGCATTGGTGCAAACGGGATGGCGAATATCGTGCAGAATTTTATATTTTCGTCTGTGCTTTTTTCCGTTGGAATGCCACCAAAACAAAACGAGAACAACAACAGCAACGAGCAACAAAAAGAGTTTCGTTGCGTTTGCAGCGACTGATTGCCGCGCTTATTATTATTGTGTGGCCAACACTCGCGCGACACGGCACAATTCCCCGATAGCGATATAGCCAAGCCGCCGCAGTCAACGACGCGTTTTTACGGATTGCGTTTACCGACGCGTTTGCGAATATTCGAATGCGACGCCCACACACGGCATTGAGCGAGGGGAGAGGGGAAGAAAAGTGAAGCTGCCGAGAGCTGGCAATTAGACGCCTTTAGCCGGCATAATGGCGTTGACAGTGCTCATCATTGGCAGCAGCAGAAACAGCAGCAACAGCAACAGCAGCAGCAGCGACAGAGAAGTCGCCATCGATGTGACCGCAATCAACGACATCGGCATCGTCAATTGCCAATTGAAGCGCGACCGTTACGCTTCGCCAACGCCGACGCGCTCCAGTTTATCAATGTCAATTGAGGACGTTGCCGTTGCCGTTGCCGTCGCGCGTTTTCAATCGCGTTGCTAAAAACTCTTCTTCACCAAACAAAAGCAAAAGCAACAGCAGCAACAATATATGTGCTTGTGCGTGTGTGAGTGTGTGTTGTGCGGTTTATAAATTAATCGACTAAAACGATTTTCGCTATTGTTGTTGTTGTCGTCGTCGTTGCTCTACAATTGTCGCTCTTCAAATGGTCACGTGCGGCCGTCAAACGTTCAATATGCTGCCCATGGCGCCGATGAATCCCTTTGTTGTTGGCCTGACACCCACTTCGATGGCAGCGGCAGCTGCAGCAGCGGCCGCCGCTGCCGCTGTGGCGGCCAGTACGGCAACCACAACAACAGCAGCAACCACAACGAGCACGGTGGCAAGCAACAATAAACCAAAGCTGGCCTTTAGCATAGATTCCATAGTGGGTAGTGGCAGTGGCGGCAGCAGCAGCAGCTCCAGCAACTCCCAGGAATCGCGTCCTTTGCGGGTCAGCGTGATATCCTCGCCATTGAGCGCCTCGCAGCGCAGCGAGAGTCGCAGCCCGACCGCTGTAGAGGATTCTCCACATCATCATCATGGGCATAGTCAGTCGCTTGGTTATGCTTCTGCCACACCACGTGGTTTTATTTATTGCCGACGTCGCACCTCTCTGGATCGCAGTCGAAGTCGCAGTCCACAGCCGCCCGCAGCCCGACGCAGCTGCTCCCGCTCGCCCTTGGCTTCCAATCAACAGGCGCGCAATAGTCGTTCGCCATCTCCCGCTTCCGTGGGCGGGGCACCTCCCCTGGTGGTGCCCGGACTGCCGGCAGGACTTATACGACCGCTTCCCTTGCAGGCGCCGCCAAATTTAGCTTTACTTGCCGTACGCTCCACGGCCTCCTTGGTCAATGGTGGCATTGCCAATTCGCCAACCACAACCACACAGGCTCCAACAGCTCCCCCGGCACCACCGCCCCCATTTCTCGCTGCCCAATTTCAAATGGCCGCTGCACTGGCCCATCACCACCAGCAGCAACAACAACAACATCAACACCATCATCCGCCCGTGCCAACGGCTCCACCACATGCTGGGCCACCGCATATGCCGCCTGTGCATCCACTGGGTCTGTTTCCGCCAGGCCCACACCCGCCGCCTCCCCATGGCCACGCCTTCGTGGGCGCTCCTCATCTCATACGTGATAGTTATCCGCTGTATCCGTGGCTGCTCAGTCGCCACGGTCGCATATTTCCACGTTTTCCGGGCAGTAAGTATGCAAATCTATTTATCAGTACTTTGAAAAACTTCACGATTGGATAAGAGCCTTTCAGGATAACAGATCATTAGTTATAGACACATATGCATATATCAATGCTTACTGGTTTGATAGAAGAATATTACCTGATCCTGTCATTTAATAGAACTAAAAATGTCATTCTTAAAGCTTTTACTATGCAAGTAAGGATCGAAAAATAATGTCAGTCAACACTTTACACTCGGCATGAATGGAGGCGGGCTTATAATCTTAGAATCAGCTAGTTACTTTAGAACCGAAACAAAACCAGGTTATGAAGTAAAAAAACTTAAAAGTATTAAAAATCAAATAGATATAAGAATCTCATTTTAATTTATTATCCTTTTAAGCTAATATCCTTCGTTTATCCTACACTCTCAAATATTCAAATTATTTTCTTTACTTTTGCTTAAGGTTTCTTACTCTTTTTCGCCGCTTAGTAAAATCGAGAATAAATTGAAATCATGAACCTTCGGGTGTAATAACTTGCGTTCAAGGAAATGGCTCAATTCAAGGAATAATATCCTTCTTCGAATTGATAGCTTTATGTAATAGAGCTACCGATCGGGAAGTCGTTTATAGATGAGGTCAGCTGATATTATTTATAAGGAAAATGGAAAATTTGTTTTCAAATTATTATACTGTTCTTATTCAACTGATAAGGTTTTCTTGTAAGGACATTACGCAAATATCTGTACTATACCCTACTAATCCTCCCAAACAAGTACCCTGATAGTTCCCCTCATGTTCCTGTGTGTCAAAATTCGTTTAAGAAGTGGGTGGACATTAAATTCTTCTTCTTCTAAGTCCCCAAGTACCCTGATAGTTCCCCTCATGTTCCTGTGTGTCAAAATTCGTTTAAGAAGTGGGTGGACATTAAATTCTTCTTCTTCTAAGTCCATTTTTATTGAAGTGTTTTGAAACTGTTGATTTCGCCGATGTTATCGCAAATTTTTGGGGTCCCTTTACCTGTTACATACTTAGCACAAACTAAATAAGCCCCCTATTCGTATACCCTTCGGGTACAGGGTATAAAAATGGATTTTCCCCCCCTAGCCCAATGTGTGTGTTTATTTATTTATTTTAAGACTAAAGGCGAGCACTAGTATAAAGGAGCTTTTAAAACAAATAACGTAAAAATCAAGATGAAACTCAATCAATATACTATATTATACCATAGTATATTGATTCACTATAATTGGAAGAGTTTATTTTAGTTTGCAATTTTAAAAAAATATAAACTTTCAGCTAATTCGTAAAATTAAAATAGAAAATCTAGCTTACTATACAAGTATTTATAGAGTATGTGCGAGGTACAAGATACAAATTGCTGCGAAAATAATGTATCTTACAATTTAAAAAACTGGATTTACATGCTACATTTATTTCAGTGTATGCCTAATGTACATTCGAACCCTAACCTGTAATTATTCATTTATGGCTCTTCGTTTGTGCGCTTTCGTTGCTGCTGTTGTTGTTGTTATTGTTAGTATTGCTGCTGGTCTGTATAATTAAACTTAAATAAGTAAATGGTGCACATTTATTACAAGTTAATTAGACGACTATCAGCGTCATCATCATCAGGGTAGCAACAGAAAAACAGAAATAACAACAACAAAGTAGGCTGCGGTTCTGCCTGCGCACCTGAGGGCAAAAGCAAGAGCAAGATACAAGTAAATAATAACAACAACACAGCGACCACAATAGGAATATAAAAGCAAACCATGAACCAAACCCATTTTGATAACTATTTCCAAACAAATTACATTTTAATTAAATTGTTTAAACAACATTACACACATCGTTAGGTCAAGCAGCGTACCTAAATATGTGGTTCGGTGTGTTGTGTATGTATGTGTGTGTGTGTATGTGTGCCGACTTAAAATTACCATTAATGGCGCTTGAAGCGACGCAGTCGGCCAACAACGAGTTGGGAGAACGACAGCCGGCGCCACTGGCAGAGCGAGCCCATGCGGCGTATGTGTAACACTCTCTCACTCACACACACACACACACACACAGACACACATTTACTGAGAGCCAGCCGCCGCGCGAAAAGTGCAGCGAGTGAAATGTTAATGCGTTTTTAATTGAGGTTTTGGGGCAAACAACGACGTCAGCGTCGACGGAGGCAGCGACAGACGCAGAAACAGAGGAGCTCATACGAAGCGCCGGAGCCAGCGTGCGCCTCAAAACATTGTCATTTATTATTATTTAACCTTTTTTTCGCTCTCGTTCAATTCTCTTTCTCCTTAACTTAATTACAATTTCAATTTTCATTGGACCAAGCAACGTGCACACCCATTCCCCCATATTTGAAAAAAAAAACATGCACACATGTATGTATGTATATGTGAGTGTGTAATTTTCGGCAACTGGAAAATACTCGTAATTTTCGGCACACTCACACGCCTTTCACCTGTTCGACGACTTGCACGCCCTAATTATGTTATATGCTGTTTCATTTAAAGTTCAGCCAGTCTGTTGCTGTGTGTGTATGTTGTTTTTTTTTTTCATATTATTTTGGTAGTCATGTAATTACAGCTTGATTTATGAACGTAAAATGTCAATGTTTCGCATAACAATTTCATCAAGCGTGGTTGGGGGAGCTCGTGCGCGCCATTCGGTGATGCGTCAACAGCTCAATTACAGTTGAAAGTACGTGTGAAGCTATATATGTAGGAACAGGCATACATATGTGTAGTTAAGTATAGAATATGTATTTAATGCCTTGAATCTTGCAGGGTGTTGCCTTGTAATGATGAAGTATAGAAATGATATGAATACTATATACATAATATTCATATCGTATGTATGTATAACCTTTGGATGTAAATATGTATATGTATATTTTTTGTATATATATGTATATATATTTTGGGGCAGATTAAAAAATATGGTGAGCAATTCAGAGTCACACGTATTGAATAAGGCCTATAATGGATCCAAATCAACTTTTTTTTTTAAAGTACACTTGTACAATTTGACGAATTATTAAGTAAAATTGTTTCGCTAAAAACTGTTCTTAACATAAGGCAATTTGAATAAGCCCAGAGAAAACAATAAAAATTATATGTTTCTGTTAAGTTAAGTTTCTTTAGCTTTAGAATTGTGCGCAGGATTGCAGAAAAACTGTAGCAGTAAAAAATCCAAAAAACTAAATAAAACCCAGGCGTTCATCCAAACAGACAGGCCGAAAGATTAATGGGAAGACGGAGAGACAAACAGACGAACGGGCACGTCTAGAATAATTTCCCAACAGATTTAAAATGTACATTCTTATAGTACACTTTATGGATTCGAACAGGCTTCTTTCTGCCTGTTACACAATTTGCATACCTTTTTACCTATTGGGTACAATCAATACCTCTGATCACAGTATAAAAATAGTTGTTATTTAAAAAGAAAACCCAAGAATTCCCCTCACAACTCCCCTCTGACGTTTCTATATAATTGCATTAAAAATGTGTGCCCATTCACAGTCCAACTTTGGCAGCGTTTGATTTTTATCGCCCCAGTCAATGAACGACTATACTATAAACACACATATACTGAACTGCAGGGCGACTGCCATTGCGAGCGCAATAAATTAATGAAAAAATCATGAGAGCATAAAAATTAAGCCGGTCGATAAAAAAAAAATCAACAACGACGAACAAAGAGCTGAAAAAACAACAAACACAATTGTACATAAGTGATAAATAATGAGGCGCACAAAAAGCGATCGAAGGCTGATCGAAAAGGCAGGCAGGGGGCAGCCAGCAGCCAGGCAGCCAGCACTTCAATCATGTGCAAAAAATGACAGCTGACAAGGGTGTGAGTTGTAACTGCAACAGCAGCCAACAGCAGCAGCAGCAACAACAACAACACATGAGTTTCAACAGCGACATCAAAGCGGACACATCAATTAATTGTCAATTGCGCGTATTTTCGCACGGCCGTTCTTTGAGAACGCCGCAAGAGTCATAAAAAAGCGAAATAAAAATATACTATATATACGCGCATATAAAAAAAGTTAAACCAACTTCATTGAGAGACTGATTTCAACGATGGCTGCATTTGACGATGCACCACCGATTGAGGCGATACGAGTATCGGTGCGAGCAGGCCAGAGGATGCGCAGTCTATGAAAAAATAATTAAGTGGCCATTGTGCCTGACTATCAATTATGCGAGCAGAGCAGCCAGCCTACTCGCTATAGTCGCAGATACGCGCGCGTATCTTGTAGCTACATTGTTAGCTGTCAAATGTAACAAATGTCAAGAAATCTGTAGAAAAAAGAGGGCGCGCATAGCACACAGTTGTACGGCCGCAGAAGAGTACAGTAGTAATCGCAAAAGAGCAATTCTTCACTACCTATTCCTGTTGGTCTCTCTATTTGAATGATCAACAATATCTGGAAAACTGTAAACTTGGTTGATTTGATTTGTAGATTAGGAGATGGAAGATCTATTAAAATAAATATAAATATTTAAACAGATATTATGAATTTGAACAATGATGTGACGCTTCTTCCTTTCGCCTGTCTGTCTGTATGAACACTTCGGTTCCTGACACAATGTGAGCTAACATCCTCTAAAAAGGATCGAATAGGCGCATTGACCCAACTAGCTATACAGACATCCTGCGCCCTAATTTGTAAGAGAGGTATTTTTTTGTAGTAAGGATACTCATCATAAATAAAACGATTAACCACAAATTAAAATTTGAATTTATAGCAGCCAGATATTTATCAAATTACCTATGTATGTATACATTAATTTCGACCTCAATAATGCAAAGAGCTTCCAAATAATATTGATAACAACAATATTGAAAACACTTTAAGGTACGAAAGTTAGATGCTATTAGGTATGAATAGCTTCGAAAACTTAGGAATATTCTTTGAAGACATCTAATTGCCTGTACAATTGTTGAACGTATATTATACTCAATGAATATTTATTAGTAACTTGCTTATTTTAGAAAGAAACTTTTAACTTATTGGGAACTACAAGTACATATGCATAATTTTAATTAAGAAAATTGTCTAGGAACTAATAAATAAATAAATAAAATTATCCAACTCTACTTATCTTATAAGATGCATATCTTTATAAGCATCTAATATATCAATATTAAAGAACTTCACATACTATCACATATTGGGTCCTGTTTTCATTTTTTTCATTTCTCTTAAACGATTTCTACTGTAATTGTGCGAGCAGTTCATAAAAAAGTAGAGCGCACTGCGAAACTGTTGTCAAGTTCATAGCAAAAACGAAGCACGCACGCAGTTGCTGCATCTGTCAGATACAAAAAGGCATCAATGGATAGCTGACTGACTGGCTGCCTGCCTGCCTGCCTGGATGGCTGGCTGCCTGCATGGCTGACTCCTCCGACTGCCTGGAAAACGCATTTATGAAGTGTCAAATTGACAAGTTCGTCGTGGCAGTGTCGCATTGTTTGTATCTGTTGTTGTTGCTGTTATTCTAGCCGCTTTACGCTAACAAGATACATTTGTAGCTGCAACTTCTTCTGCCAATCCAATCCGTTGTCGCTGAGAAACTCTGCACATGTTTTTACTACAAGCCTTTGTTAGTTCGCTACTCTTATCAGGCTGTCTGTTTATTTTTGTTACACGAACGTTTTCGTTTTTATTGTGCAGCCCGTGCTTCTGTTTATGTTTTCGGTTTCTGGGCTTCTGTCCTGAGCTCTGAGGCTGAGACTGAGCCTTGAGGCCGCTTATTTGTTGAACAAATATTTATTTTGTAATTGGCACACCTTGTGACTTAGTTTATTGCTTTGTTGCGTTTTGTTTGACATCTAAGCAACTTATGCTTTACTAACATTGAAATAACAAGATTTGAACATTTCTTACAGCATATACATATATAGAATAGAATAAACAGAATTAGAGCTTGGGGTTTGCGGACTCGAGGTGGGAAAGTTGTGGAACAGCATTCTTTGTGGAAGAAATATTTAAAAAATAACTTAATCACGTGGAATTAAAACATTCTAGATTTTACAAACAAACTCAAAATATTATGGAATATCTTTGATCTTTGCCTTAAATTTATTTATTATGCAGCATCTTTTATCGACATCGTGTCCAAATTTCAAGAATACGTTTATGATCAGAATTCAACATTCGAAAGACATATCAGCAGGCCTAAAAAAATGAGTACTTATATGTAGTTGTAAATTAGAATTTATGCTTAATGCTTAAATTTTTATGAAGAAGCACGTTTTGCAATTTGTATTATCCATTTTTTTTATATTTACTGGAAGCCTTAAACATCTGTTTAATACAACAGTCGTAATTTTGTTTCGCCCTTGCATTGCTGCGCGGTGCGAGTGGACGATTTGGTTTATGTTTATGCTTAAGAATTTAAATTTAAAATATTTATGTGTATTGAATTATAAGCTTAAAAGAAAAGAAGTAAAGGTAAAGGACTTTCTTTTACGTTCGCCATGGCCTCAAATGTGTCGTTTGTGTCTCAATTTTTTCCTGAGTAGTTATGCATGTGTAAGTTTCCCAGTCGGAACCTGTTTGAGTTGCATATTTTATGTTAATTGTTTGTTGCTTATGTTTTGCATTTTGTTAAATAAATCTTAATATGATTGAATATTTAACAATACTTGAATTATATAGTATTTATTGTAAAATGAAATACATTCTTTTGTAATTTTGGCATTTCTTAGAAATTCAAAAGACTGGGAATGTATAGTTGAATATGATTGATATGAAAACTCTTGGAAAGCTGCAACTATTTCTTGAGAGCTCGATCTTAACTGCTTAGCCTGCTGCGTTTGCGTGCAAATCTGTGCATCTTGTTCGCACAGTAGCGGCCATTTAGCTTAAACTCGAGCATATCAATATTCAAATTGTGGCTCAATTGAAATTTGTTAACTGGCAGTGGCCGTCGTCACGCTCCGGCCGCCAAGCTGGAGCAAGCAGGTCGTCGGGCCGCACAAATCGTGATAAACGTCAAAATACCAAGGAGCGCAAAAAATTATGGCAGACTGCAAAAAAAATTATAGCAGAGTCAAGTCGAGGAGACCCAGCCACAGACACAGACACAGCCACAGAACAATGGACCCAACGGGCTGGCTGGTGGTGCCGGCACTGTCGGTGGTGGTTGTGGTGGTGGTGATGGTGGTGGTGGTGGTGGCGGCGACGACAACAACGACGTTTAGGAGCGCTAAAGTGTTCGACTTTTTGTCGGCGCGGCTGTCGGGCCCAGCTTCTGCGCAATTGTTTTTACTCGGCGCGAGCTTATCAGCGATTTTGACATGAAGACACCGACAGAACAAGGCGCTGGCCCGGTCCTGGGTATGGGTATGGTACGGGCCTGGACACGAACCAGACAACAGGCATGCGCTTTGTCTTGCCTTGGCATGCTGGTGTCTGGAAATTTGTTTATTGTTTTGTAATGAGTTTGCCATGAATGCGGCACCTTTCAGCGGTTCTTGGATTCGCTTGCGCGGCACATTCGCGGAAATCATAACCACAAATTGACGGCGTTGTCGCGTAATTGGCACAATCCTCCATCACCACCATCACAACAATCACAATGTATCTGGCAGTGAGGGGGTTGTGGCATTTGAATAATTATCAAATTATAGCGCCAAATATGTGTCAGTCACGCTTTAGCAAATTAACCGACAGACCGACCGACCGGCCATCATGGATATGGATAGTGTGGAGCCGCCATATTTGAATAATTTCTCATTAATTTGTTTAATGACAATACGGAAAACTTTTCACATGCCGTAAACCCCCACCACACAGCTAACAACCTACGCAAAACCAGTTGGTCATGCTTGGGAAAACACTTGATTAGGGTCTAACTTACACACAACTCGTATGGCATGGCATGTCATGGCATGTGGAGAGAGACGTCATCAGTGTGATGGCAGCTTTTCTGCGTTTTTGGGTCAGCACCTTAGTTAGTCAGTAGCCTGAATAATAGAGATGGCCACTTGACATTTTCCAACAACTACCATTTTACATATGTATGTGTAAAGACTTTTGCCGGAGTATCAAATTTCACAGTCGAATACTTAATGTGGTTGCCGACAAAAATTGCAATTAAGTATAGACTAGCTGCTAAAAGGCTTTAAAAACAAAAGCATTTACTCAATTATTTGTGAAAATTAAGTTCAATACCTAGTAATTGTTGCCAGAGCAACAAAGTTTACTGCAATTGAAGAAGAGAGTGGATACAATGTGTTAAAAATTCGGGCTATCAGGACTTTAATGTTCTACTTAACAGTATTATTTTTGCACACGATTTTCCTACAATATTGTTTACTCCAGTTTTAATGTTGTTTTTAATCTAAAAAGTCTTCAACACATCCGCAATATAAGCTTGAATTACGGGTTGGAACAATCGAACAACTTCGTTGTTTCTATTCAATTATTTACGGGTACATAGATTAGTTTTTCATTTCACATTTGCCATCCCGATCTCCAAAGCTTTGTTCTTAAAACGCTCCCTGACATGAGTAGTTAGTTTTATATAGATTCAAATTTCAATTACATGTTTTATCATTTTTCAAACAAAGCTGTCCTTTTTTATAAACCCACGTCTAGTTCACTAGTTGTGTGAGCTCTTATATCAAACCGAAGACAGCAGTGGAGAAAGACAGAAGTGGCATTTAGTTAAGTTACTTTCTTCATATATTTATATACCGTCTTAATAAGAACAGTTTGTCGTTCTGGAAATGTTTGAACTCAAACATTCAATAGAAATATAAACAATTTCAGCATGTAAATTTGATTCTGATAAACCGATTTCCTTCAAAGTTGCATTCGGATTTATAAGGATATAAAGTAAAATGAAAAACTTAAAACTTGAGACTTATTGTCAATCAATATTTTTAGTTTTGGTGGAAAAACAATGTAAAACAAATTATTCCTTTTAATGGAAGTTGACTTTTGAAAAATTTATTTAAACACAAAGCTGTAGTCAGGCAAATAAAAACTAGAAAATAATCAAAATTTAGGTAAACACTTTATAATATAGACTTCTTATTGATTGAGGTAACATTGTATTCAAGACATATTTGCAAACGCCAATAAATTTGTTTTCAATTATTTGCCTCTGACCATACCTTAAGACTTAAATTAAGCAAAAAGTTTGTAAACGTCAATAAATTTGTTTTCAATTATTTGCCTCTGACCATACCTTAAGACTAATAATTAAGCAAAACGTTTTCCCATCTAATGCTGAGAAATTAGCCTAAAAGCAACTCACGTTGAAATATTATGCTTTATTATTCCACAAAATACAATAGCTATAGATGACAATCAATTTTAATTCGTACCCCTGTACTCTTTTAATTCCTACAGACTTCCTGCTGCAGCCATTCCGTAAGCCCAAACGCGTCCGGACCGCATTCTCGCCCACTCAGCTACTTAAGTTGGAGCATGCCTTCGAGGGTAATCACTATGTGGTGGGTGCAGAGCGCAAGCAACTGGCGCAGGGTCTGAGTCTAACAGAGACACAGGTAAGTGTGAAGGGCAATGACAAGACACACACAACACACAAAACACAAAACACCCTCTCCTCACCCTTCAAGGGCTAAAGACAACCCTTTGGCCACCCTTGGGCTAATGTGGCGTCTAATCGGCGCACTTCATTGACGCGCATAATGCGCATCAAATTCAATAAATGCCATCCATACCATGCCCAATACCAGGCCACCCCATCCCACCCCTAGGCGGGCCGGAGCGAAAGCACCCTTGAGGTGAACCTGAACCTTTGTAATGGCTGGCGGCCAAGAGTTGCCGAGCGTTAAGTGATTGCATGTCAGCTGGTCGTTAGTTGCGCAAGTGCCTGAGTTATTAGCACATGATGCACATGGGCGGGGGGTTGCTGACCGCCCGGGGGCAGGGGTGGGAAATGGCTGTGACTTTGCGACACCCTTGCATGGGCATATGTAGAAAGGGGGCAGGCTCAGGCCGTAAATAGAATTAAAAGACTCGTTAAATTTATTTATGGCTTGCTTTTTTGTTTCAAAGGGGTTGGCCCAACAGGCCATAACACTTACACCCCCATCCCCCAGCGCTCTCCACTCCCCCTTCTCATCCAACCCCAAGCCACTCAACATGTTTATGCGTTTCTTCTTGGCACAGGTCAAAGTTTGGTTTCAAAACCGTCGCACCAAGCACAAGCGAATGCAACAAGAGGGCGGCGACAGCGATGCGAAAAGCAACAAAGGCAGCTCCTCGGGCGGTGGCGGTGGTGGTGGTTGCGGCACTAGCGGTGATGGCGACGATGACGGCAAGCACGATGGCTCGCAGCACAGCTTCGAGGATGCCGAGGATGTGGAGGAGGAGGACGAAATCGAGGATGATGACGAAGACGAGGTCATCGATATGGACGACTATGGCAGCGAGCTGGATGTCGAGGAGCATCAGCGTCTGCGCGAGCAGTTCCAGCAACAGTTGCAGCAACATCAGCAACACTTGCTGCAGCAACAGCAACAACAACAACAACAGCAGCAGCAGAACGAAGCTACTTCCAATGGCGGCGCTTTAACGCAACAGCAGTTGCTGCAACAGCATCAGCAACACTTTCAACAGCAGCAGCAGCAACATTTTATGCAACAGCAGCAAATATATTTGCAGCAGCAGCGCGAGAGAGAGCGTGAAAGGGAGCGCGATCGCGAAAGAGATCGAGAGAGGGAGCGAGAGCGAGAGCGGGAAAGAGAGCTCCCGAAGCAGTAGGGCTAGATTTGTTTGTGCTTTCATAAAGAATGTTGTACTTCGGTTCAGATGTGTGTATATGGCTAAGTTATTGCAACTACTCTCCTGTGTTCCTTTTGTAAATTATTTAAAGTGTATAGATTAATTTTTAATTGTTTATAAATATTAATAATTTAACAATTCTGCTAAATTAAATGATTTCATGACACCGAACAGCAGTACAAAATCTAACTCAAGTCAAGGCAAAAGGTTTCCATACGGTAAGTACCTAAGAGATATTCAAACTATCTCAAAGGCACTGTATATATACATACAATTAAGTTAAAATCATTGTCTGTTTAAGCCGCTGAACCCCCTTCGCAAAAGACATTGATATGAAGAGAATAGTTTTTATAAACATTACATTATTAAAAATATCCATTAATTTCTCTATACTACTAATTTCTCAATAATTTCGGGTTGAATATTGATTCACTTGTTATGAGCTCGGATCCAAAGGGTCTTGAAGGTACTTCGGTCCAGTACCAACCTTTTATTTAGGCTGAGCAAACTGCATTATATTATATTGCTAAGTCTTTGGATATTTACGCCGAACCGTCCTGCAAGTCAGAAATTAAATGTCAAGACGAATCGATATTATTATATCCCCCTGTCTGCCTGTTGGTCCAATAATTTGTAAGCCCCAACGGCAAACTTGGTAAGTACAGGTATACTTGTCCAATCCATACGCAGAGAAATTTTATTACAAACCATATATAGGTTCAATATGTTATATAGCTGTCACGAAACCGAACCGATAAAAAAAATCACTCTAATAATAACTTTTTTGTAAGATATACATAATACCTTTATTTGATCATTTTTAATTTTATTTATTTATTTATTTTTTATTTATTCATATTAATGTCAAAAAACTGTTGGCATATCTAAACAAATTACAATAATATCTATTAAAAGCCTCCGCCCCTGTGGGGGAATATATATATAGTACTTTTATATTATTGTAGTTTAAAATCAATTTGAAACTACAATGTTTATAGCCAGAGCAACTAAAGCCTTAAGGCTGTCTAAAATAATAATGCCTTCATGATTTAATATAAGCTGGCTTTGGGTTTTGCCAAGCAACTAAGCACAAAATTGATGGCACCAAGAAAGTACTCTTTTGTTCAAACGGAATAAAAATTATTTCGATGCAATAAAAACCGTATTTGCTCGCAATAAATAGGCATCTAAGGGTTTCGCAATAACAAGCAAATCACTCAAAAGTCTGCAAAGAAGTCACAAAATAAAAACCGAATGCTAACAAGTGCCCTTTATTGAGTTGTTGTCGATGGCCTGCCAGGAGTCGGTTCCCTCAATGTTCTCAGTCCATCACCAGCACCAACCAACCAGATTGCTAAGCAGGTTGTGTGCTAAATGTTGACAGTAAAAATGCAGTCAACAATTACGGATTTCGGTCTCATGAGGCGGCCGAAAAATAAACGTCAGTCAATAACTAAACGGCTGAATTGATTGGAGGCCGACATCATGCAATTCGTACGAAATTGATATTAAAATGCAAACGATTGGCTATAAAACATATTTACTACTATAGATAAATAAGCAAGACGGCCCCGGGGTGCCATTTTGTTGGCGCAATATGCACATACGAGTCATATGGAGAGCGGTGGCAGTAGACAGCAAAAACCCAACAAACAATAACAACAACAACAAGCTAATGGGGCAGCAATTTGGCGTCATTTACGAGCAAACTGAAACGTGAAATAAACCAAAAATTAAACTGACAAAACGGCCCAAAAACCGAGGGCAGTGTAACAGACGGCCCACGGCATAAAGTCAAAATACAATATACATAAATAAATTTATTTGTGATATGGCAGAAATGTGCAGGAAGGCAGCACCAACAGCAGCAACAGCAGCAGCAACAACAAACCTGAACCCGGCCAGCAAAAGTTCAAGGTAATTGCTGTTGTCAAAGCAGCGCAACGAAAAGTGGGCGTGTAGATATGGGGAACTTTGGCAACAATTTATGGGCTCGGGGCCACTTGAGTACAACCGAAGGGTGTTGAGGTTGCACGCGAGCGCGCACCGCACACCCTACCCCACCCCAAGTCTAGGGGGGTGTTGCTGCTGCCGGTTCCTTCACGGCCAGACTGCAGGCAATCCCATTCAAAAACTGCAAACATACTCGCACAAACACGTGTGTGCACGGCAATTTTTGTGTTTTGCATAAACGATGTGAGAATTACTTAATTGCAGCTTACATCTACACACACAGAAGTATCTGTGTCTGTGTCTGTGTGCGTGTTGTGAGGGAAATTTATGAGCGTTTAGGCACAACGCCAACAATCAGACAATGAAGTTGTCTACAGCAAGTGGCATCTAGCAGGTGAGTAGCTTCGCATTGCAATCACGGACACTGCCGAGAGGAAGGGGGCCTTTGTTTATGTGCAGCTGCTATTGCAGTTTTGTATCTGGAGCAGGTATTTAATTCAGCTCTACTACGAAACTGTCAGACCCTTTTGCTTTCACTACGACCAGTACATGCAAATAACAAATAACCATTAGATACCAGTCAACAACAAACAACCCAAACAATACTCAGCAAAACTCCAAGTTAAGTCAAGCGTTCAGTCGCAGTGAAAATATCGAAATGTTGCAATCGCCTGTCGTACGTACTTATATGCTGCTATAATTTTTCATTATTGCCGCAGATTTGCTTAACAAACTAATAGGGTTTAGCTCGTAAGTTGTCGACAAACAGACACAGCACAAAAACGAACTTAAGAGCACCTCTCAACTTAACTATCAGTTTTATAATCATATACAGTCGACTCTCGTTAATTCAAACCCGCGATAATTCGAACCTCTCTATACAAAGTTATTACGATTTCCCAACAAAATCTCTTAATATTTCGAACTAAATCAATACATTTTTATGCACTTGGTAATTCGAACAAAGAAATCATTACTATATAACAAAACGACGCGTAAATTAGAACTCATCGACGTCCAACACTCGACAATTCAAAGTTGCATGGATAAAGAGGCGGAAATATTATATGTAAGTACATTTTGCGACAAGTTCAAACTTGTACCAACGGGCAGGTGCTAGCCCCGCCCGTCGCGCCGCACTTCATACCGCACTTCAAAATCCGTCCCGGTAACTGTTTTTTTATACCCTGTACCCGTAGGGTAAAAAGGGTATATTAGGTTTGTGCAAAGTATGTAACATACAGAAGGAAGCATCTCCGACCCCATAAAGTATATATATTCTGAATCAGCATGACGAGAGAAATCGATCTAGACATGTCCGTCCGTCTGTCCGTCTGTCTGTCCGTCTGTCCGTCTGGATGAACGCGAGGATCTCAGAAACTATAAAAGCTAGAATAACCAAAGTTGGCATCCAGATTCTCCTAGGTCCGAGTAAGGACGAGTTTATTTTTTTTTTTTTAATTTCCCCCCCCCCCTTCCCCCGCTACAGAATTTCGTCAATAGCGTCCACATTTCAAATGCTACCTAAACCAAACTTTGCACACATAATTTATAAATAAATATCTACTGTTGTTTAAAATTTTATTCAATTCGGTCAATTCTAAGAAAAGTTATTAGCGAAACAAATTCTCGCCAGTACAACCCCCACAAACTGCAGCAACAAGTTCGCTCTTCTTCTTCCTCTTTTTGTTGCTGCTTTGGGCGCATATAACTCAGTGACGGAAGTTTACCTGGGTACAGGGTATTACACTGTCGGGCTTGCTCGACTGTAGCGTTCTCTCTTGTTTTTATGATTCGTTTGGCTATTTGATACACACTTCACACGAATTAGTTTGTTTAGTTATCATTCAAATACTGTTCCTCTTTTGACATTGTTATAGAATAGTATTTAATAAATAATAATTGATCAACACTTAATTCTTCGAAGATTTCTTTATTTTCTCTCAAACATTTCGAACCAATTGATATTTCAAACTGTCGATAATTTGTAACATTTTAAGAGTACCTCGAGTTTTGCATTAACGAGAGTCGACTGTACTACGTTACGCTGACAGATGAAATAAAAACAAAATACAAGTAGTTATGAAATAAGGAAGCAAATTTAAAATATAATGCGCACGTAAAAAGTCCTAAGTGTCGGACTATAACACAAAATCCCACCCCACGACTTGCAAGTCATCTTAATATCGAATACCAATAACAAATTGTATTTTGTTTATTGTTTCATTGTGCTGTTTTTTGTGCCTCATAAATGCTCAAAATCGAATAAATCATTGAGTGCGTTCAGTCGAATACTTCGTTACTGATGAATAATACATTTGTGAACAGCCTCCCATACTTTTTAAGTAGACAGATAATTTGCACAAATTTGAAGAACTTCAGAAGTGCTTTAATGGAATTGTATACCAAAATGCTTAGAGGGGTTTACTATTCAAAGTCTAATTGTAAAACACAAGTGTATGCAAATTTGTATACATAATCATATGTCTATGAACATATATTGAATATATAAAATTTAATTAATTTATAAAATAAATTTTTATTTTCAATGTAGTTTTTTAATTTTTTAAACTAAAAAATAATTCTTTTTCTTTTAAATTTTTTTTTTTTTGGTACAGGGTATTTCACCGTCGGGCTGGCTTGACTGTAGCGTTCCCCTTTGTTCATTTTGGTAACATGGCTATCTTAACATTCTGTATTCGAAGCGACTTCTGCATTTCAATCTTACTTTAAATTCAATTCTAATAGAAGGAGGTGCCGCCCCACAAAGTATATACAAATACGTGTAAATTCTTGATCAGCACAAGTCGAGCCAATATATTTGTCTATCCGGATCTCAGAAAGTATAAATATATGTATATAAAAAACGAGCTTGAGTTTTTTCGATTCACCCCACTATTACAGATTTTTCATAACTCCTGTAATTCGTGGAATTTCAAAGGAGTGCTTACAAGGTATTTAACAGTTTTAGTTTTGGATCAAAACCACATAACTTAATTTACTTTCCGGTAATTTATAAAGTTATT